AAAGGTGAGGCTGACTTCTAGATATGTCTTCCCCACAGACGGCGCCAGATATTTGAGCCCGAAATTGATTGAGCTCGGACACGATTTAGATCGGTGTGCTCAGGACGAGCTATAGCCAATAGTCCCGCACCTCCCTTGAATAGTTGCTGAGACCTGCAAAACAAAGTTAGCACTCCGACGAGCAAGTTAGTTCTAGTCCGAGCTAACTTGCCGAGTCTACTTAAGATTGCGTACCTTGCATTTAAGGCAAGAGTTTTTATTTATAGAAACTGGGCCCGGCAGGGATTCTGACACACCCTGAAATCACGACGTGCTGTCGGGCACGGAAGGGACACTGTTACGGACTCTGCATCAGCTCAGCTCGGCACTATTGGTCCTACCCTGACTGCCGACCTGAGTATTTTGGAGCCGCTTTCTTCACTTCGCCTGCGTGTTTAACCAGCCCACCTTTTCGATCGTGACACGTGGCAGGCCAGGATTCGCCTCCGACATTGACAATTACCAATAATCAAATGCTTTTGTTTCTTAAAACTTGATCTAACAAACGAATTACTAACGGATCCTTAATATTAGTATAAGTTCTTAAGTTATATGACCAGCGTGTAGTTAATTTGAGTCTAATTGATATGTATCTCCGTCAAAATGTCACATTATCAAACTAGTTTTGATGATCAAACTTATAATTTAATTATTTGTTAATTTTATGAACCAACATTTGCTAACGTTGGCCACAAACAAAAACAAATACAACTGTTTTCAGCGACAGATTTTTTCAACCAAGCAAGCACAGAAGAATAAAAAAGCTGGAGAAGGAGATCGAGTCATTAATATGGGAGACTGTTCAGCAGCGGCAACAAGAATGCGCCAAAACGAAGTCGTCGTCAGAGAAGGATCTCTTGCAGCTGATCATGGAGGCTGCCATGAGCGACCCGACCGTAGGAGGCTGCAGCGACTCCTCGAAAAAGTTCATCGTCGACAACTGCAAGAGCATCTACTTCGCTGGCCATGAGTCCACCGCCGTTGCTGCCACCTGGTCCTTGATGCTCCTCGCCCTCCACCCCAAGTGGCAAGATCGTATCCGCTCCGAGCTCGCGCAAGCTTGCCCCGATGGCCACCCCGACACAGCTGCGATCTCTCAACTCAAATCGGTAACATCTTTCTCTAAAACACGTCAAATTGATTTTAGAGGATTAAAATTGATTTTAGAGGACTAAAAGTGTTTTAGTTCAAAATTTGTAATGATTTAGTCATTATTGTGAAAAATTTCTATAATGTAAGAGTCACCTATGCTTAAATTCTAGGTACACAAACAAAAGTCATATGTATGCACAAAAGTAAAATCACACGTTGGGAAGATCTAACCAAAGAGTTTTCAACCCAAGATTCAATCGTTGGACTAAATTGTTATTATAAAAAAAAAGTTTAAGAGACTAAATCATTACAAAATTTAAACACTTTAAGTGATCAATAATTTTATAATGGTCTGAAATGTGGGAGTAGGTTGGAATGGTGGTTCAAGAAACACTGCGACTGTACCCACCGGCGGCATTCGTGGCAAGGGAGGCATTCGTCGATACTCGGCTTGGCGACGTGGTGGTTCCAAAGGGTGTCTGCATATGGACATTGATTCCAATGCTGCACAGAGATGCCGAAATATGGGGCGGGGATGCGAACGAGTTCAAGCCAGAGAGGTTCGTGAACGGCATAGCGAAGGCCTGCAAGTACCCTCAGGCGTACCTGCCATTTGGGGCAGGTCCTAGACTGTGCTTAGGGAAGAACTTCGCCTTGGTTCAGTTGAAGATCATCGTTTCCATGGTAGTTTCAAAGTTTAGATTCTCACTGTCTCCTGATTATCGCCATTGTCCTTCTTATAGAATGATTGTGGAGCCTGCAGATGGTGTGAAGATTGTCTTCCAAAGGGTTTGAGTATAATTTAGAGTACTTTAGGGGCTATGTTTTGGTTCTGTTTTTGTAAATGAGAGGTTAATGAGTTTAGATTTCTGTTGGGATGTTTCGAGTTACGGTTATGCTCGAGCATGTTCAGGTTGAGAAGGTCGGAATGGTGTGTTTGGTATGTGTGTTTGTTTATCTTGATCAAATGGTACAAGTTTGTTAAGCTTTATACAAGCTACATAAACATATAGGTTATAGAAACTCACTTTTATAAAATCAACAACTGACATTTTGTACCTTTGTCGATCTTCGAATAGGTTCGAGTTACGGGTTATGCTTGAGTATGTTCGGGTTAAGAAGGTCGGATTGGTGTGTTTGGTACGTGTGTTTGTTTATCTCGATCAAATGGTACAAATTTGTTAAGTTTTATACAAGCTACATAAACATAGGTTATAGAAACTCACTTTTATAAAATCGACAACCTACGTTTTGTACCTTTGTTGATCTTTGAATAGGTTGCTTTCAATTTTTGTTAGGAGACGTGGTTACGTCACATGTTTGTGTAACTTGGGCATTTATGAGTTGGGTGGAATTAGATCTTAGACTTAGATAAGTATTTCGAATGAGATGTTGGTTTAAAGGAATAGATGTTTGTTTAAAGGAATATTCCAAAGAAATTGATATTTTCTTTTTTATTATAGAAGAACCATATATAATTAACACATATTTAAGTATTTAATTTATATCTTTTTAAACGATATTTATTTCCACGGCAGAATAAAAAATAGTAGGTCATCGTATACTGCCTATAGTTGACAATTTTTAAATACTAAACATTTGTTGTTAAAAATGTTCTAGTATTGACTTTTAGTATTTAGTAAAAAAATGATTTGATATTTGATCTACATTTATAAGAAATCCGATTAAATCGTTACAAATCTTAAATTATATGGACTAAATGATTGCTTATAGAAAAGTACAAAATTAAATATATTTTTCAATATTTTTTGTCACATTTTTTTACAAATAATAAATAATATACTATTAAAGTGTGCAATATTTTTCAGTTTAAATATTATTTTTGTCTTTAAATTTTTGAAATGTCTATGTCAATGCATAGATATTAAAAAAAATAATAATAATATTTTTTTTCAGTTTAATGAATGTTATTTGTCTTAACCATTATGATTTTCAGTTTTATTCTACTACTTGTTGTTTTACTATTTTATTTTAAAAATAATTGTTTCAATGAATAATGTTGTGGTTTAGAATGTGAGCTTGTATTGGAGGTACAAAGTTGATTGAGGTACTACTGAATAATGATATTAATAACAATTAAAGAAACAAAAATGATTGTATTTTTAAAAATTAATTAGCGATTAATTAGTGATATTTTAGAAGTTCAACGATTAAATTGAAATAAACTTTCTTCTTAAAAAAAATTGAAATAAACTTAGAACTTCGTTGACCAAAATGATTTAAAGTTTAATATAATCATACTAAAAGAACCTTCTAAAAGAAGTTACAAACATTAAAACAATATGTCAATTTGAACAAAATTTAGCGGGTTAAGACACCTATGTTTGGTCGTGAGTTTGAATCCTCCACTCCGTATTAAAAGAAAAGAAAGAAATAAAACATTAATATAAAGAAAAAGACAAAATAGATGACCGAGAAAAATATTTTGAGGCCTTTAAGGGTCTTAATTAGGTGGCCAACTTTTTTTAGTACAACATGTTTGGTGGGGGATCGAACTCACAATCTCTTAATCGAAAATATATGTCAATTAGCACCGATACTTTTGCGGTCAACTTTTTTAAGTTTACCAAATTAGGCATTTATCATAGGGCCTAATCTCATGCTTTTGTAATAAATATTGATGAGGGTGTTAATTGGAATTAGCTTTTGAGTTTTCATTCTTATTTTCTCTTTATATTTTTGTTGTTAAATATTTTAGTTTGGTCCTTAGACCTCACATAAATGCCTATTATACTTCTCGTATACAATTTCTAGAATGCAATTAATAAAAATTCTAGGTAACGATGCTAGTATAGGTCAAATATATCTCACTATATGACTCAATTTTGGTTATGACTGATTTTAACACTTAGTTATACTTGCTAAATAAAGCATAGTTCAACAGTAATTGACATATATCTCAAATCAAGAGGTTGTCAGCTCGATCCCTCACTCCCACATGTTGTACTCAAAAAAGAAAAAAAAAACTTGATTATGCTTATACCCAATCCAAGACATGCATCAATTTGGAAGAAGGAACATATCTTTTAGAATAATTCATCATATTGTATCAAGTTTATCGTCCTGTAGCAATCAAGACGATTATAATATATATGTCAAGCAATCTAGTAGGATGTTGTTAGCACCCATAATGGATGTCTTGAGACACCTCAAATGCATGATCCTAATCAATGTCCACCTCGATTTAGTTAGGGCCCAATTTGGCACTATAATTGACGACACCCTTTGATTAGGGTAATTGGCATATTGATCAATTAAGGTGTGTCAACTAAAGTACAAACATGAGGCTCTCGCCCTTATTGAGGCATGTGTATTTGTGCCTCAACCTGGACATGTCAGGACGAGGAGAAAGGACCATCATATTTAGAAATTCCTAACTAATAGGAAATCTGCTAATGGCCTACACAACGCGAATTTCTACCATAGAGAATCTTCTAACTATTAACAAAAGATCCATTGAATGACAAGTACAGGTGTCGGTGTCGAAATAGCAGAGTCGCATTTCTCAATAACTCCCTCTGTAAAAGGCAAAGTTCTACCTTCTCAAAGGTACACAATCTCTTCCATTTTAAACAAATTTAGCTCAAGACCAGCTCATACTAAGTACTAAATTTTGGAGTGTACATGATCGAGCACTAAATCGATACAAGATTGTACTTATAAGAATATCAATGAAATAATCCACGTCAGCCTCCACATCGAACCACTTTCTAACATGTCTCGCACTCCAGAATCGTGCATCAACCAAAGAAATGATTCTCATCAAATACATTATGGCCCCACACATCAAATTTTACTACATTACCCATTTGTATACTAACTTGAACATTAAAGCTTCTACCCCACCATGATCTGAATCTCTTAAAATCTAAAACAAAATATTTAAGTAGTATAGCTTAGCTTGTGAGTTCGAATCCCCGAACATATTGTAAAAAAAAACAAAATATTTAAAAAGTGTAGAAATTAAATAATATAGGTACGAAAGGTAAAAAGACAGAAAGGGTATTTAAATGTGTTTTCATATAATATAAGATATGGGAGACAAAATGATGTAATGTCCACAAAGGAAAATAATTTAAAAAATGACAGCTGTTTACAATATAAAAAAAGGGCATTATTATAAATCCAAGTGGACCAAAATGGCACGTTTTTATATAAAATGAAACTCAGTTCAGATTGTACTTGTTTTCTCGTGAAAATAAAATAAAAGAAGAAGCTGCTCCACTCCACTATTGAAAGTTTAAAAAAAAAAATTGAGTGTTTAATCTTTATATTTTGAACTTTTGGATGATGTGAGATTGAAGTGATAAAATAAGTATATTTTAGTTTGATAATTTTATTTTGGACAAATAATTGATTAAAACGTATATCTTCGTTCAGAAAATTTGAAGTTCGAATCTTTTAACTTCACACGTTGTAGAATTAAAAAAAGAAAAAAGAAGTTTTAATTTAGTTTTATGTTTTTAACATTTTTTAATTTAGTCTCTAATTCTTGGTGCATGTTAAAATTGATTGATGATAAATTTATAATAATATGATAGGCAGAGGGAGGAATATAGTCATCAAGAGAAGAAAACTTTAAAGTTTTATCAATTTCTTAGAAAGTTGAAGGAGAAACTGGAACTTTCGTCTTTGACTTTTTTCCATTAATAAATGTTTACCAACTCATTAAAGTATGATGCTTCGTGAAAGTTTATTATCATCTGATTTTAACATGTACCATTAGATAAGATACTAAATTTGAAAAATTACTCAAATATTAAGGACTAAAATATATATTTAGTCTCATTAGTCGGATATGAATACTTTATTACCTAGGTTTAAGCCACTAAATCTAGTCATAGCAATGTTTTAAGTTTTAACTAATTTAATGGTTAAGTTTCAGTTTTTTAATGATTGGGTTATAGCATTTTTTAGTTTGTTTGAGTGTTTTGTTAATGTGATTTATTAGTTAGTTTACCATTTCTTAATTTAGTTTTGAGGATATGTATTAATTTCATCGCTCTTGTTTTTATTTGTTTTAGTAGAATATAACTTAAACAAGAGGTGAGAATTCGAATCTGCGATTTATAAGAAATGATTTAATATCTTGATTAGTTGGAGTTGAATAAACTTTATAGTTTAATTTGACAAAATCAAAAGCTTAAGATTAAAATTGAATTGATAAATTGAAATTATGTAAAAGAGTTGGGAGGAAAATATATAGTAAAAAGAAAGGCAAGAAAAAGCTGGCATGAAGTATGGAAATTCTCATATTGCCCAACTTTATCTGCCATGATCATCAAAAACATGAAGCTTTTTGAAAGGAATAATAAATCAGTAAAGTTACATTTGGCTTTATTCTTGTTTTGAATCTTAGGAATGTAGTAGTTGCTTTAAATTTATTTCCTTAAAAAAAATAAATATGTTCAATTTTTTAATTGATTAGAGTCAGTTTGTTACTTGTTTATTGTTTCTAGTCAAGGGTTTTAGAAAAATAAGCATTCTGTAATTATTTTTGTTAGTTCCTTTTTTAAAAGAAATATTTTTAAAATTGTGTAGAATTTTCGAAAATGTTTATTGTTTCTTTGGTTTCTGTTTCCATTTTTTTTTTAATATACAAAATTAAAATATTATTTTATTATCTTAACTTATAAAATTCGTAATAAATAATTAAAAAATTAAATAAAATAATAAAACGTAATTACTTTAAAAATTGATTTTTTAAAGTTTAAAATTATAGAGAATAAAAAACAAGAAATGGTTACCAAGCATGTTTCTATTTTTTCTTGGAAATTAAAAAATCAAATAAAGCCCTTCTTTTTTTTTTTATTATAATGATGTTTTATCTATTGATTTTAGTTTTCTAAAATTACAAAGTTTTTTAGTGGGAAATAAACTTTTCTAGATAATTGTTTTTAAAATAATATTTTTTTAGTTAGATTTTGAAAAGAAAGAGCAAGTTCCTAGATTACCTTAATTTTAAAATTTAGTTAGAATTTTAAAAACGTTATTTTGGTAAGTTACAAGACAAAGAAAATGATTTTTTTAAAATTAA